AGGACGCAGGTTTCGCTCCCTCTGACACAACTGCCAGGGATCTTTCACCTCCATCATCCCAGGAGAGTTACCTCTGTGCAGCCTGAGAGTCACTGCCATGGACATTCTTCTTGCTCAATTTTAGATGCTGGGGGACAGGGAGAACTCTACACATGCTCAGGTGCTGCTCTCGTTCCTCACCTGTTCTGAGGCTCAGGACTACCTGGCCAATTTCAAAGCAGGTTCCAAAATCGCTACGTCTGTGCAGGAACACATGTTGCCCCAAGCACCGGGAGGGAAGGCTGTCCTGGGCGTGGCGGATTCCTTCCCTGTGGTGAACGCCATGCAGGCAGGTACAGTGTGTCCCACCTGCAAAGAGGGCTGCTTTCCTTTTTGTATCTGAAAACCGCGGAAGGAGGAGAAATTCCCTTGCCACCTCATTCGTCTTGCGGGCATTTCTGACCGGCTGTGTCTACCTTTCTCCTCACGTTACTGTGCCAGGCTGCCCTGTGCTAATCTGAACAGGAAGAGAAGAAAAATAGAGGTGGGGTGAGAGGAGGAGAGTTGTTTCTCTCCAGTGAGAAAAACAGGTGGGAGGCTGGGCACCGTCCTGCAAAAGGAGGACAGGGTCTCCCAGGCACCCCTGCCCTTTCAGACCCTGGAGGAGGCACTCTCCGGGTGTTTACTTTTGCAAAAACTCAGTATAGAGGAACTGCACTTAAAACACACACACACACACACGGGAGGTGTGTATTTCTAGGCTGCTGCCATGGACTGAACAGGCCTACATTCCCCAAAGGCACCTGATTTCTGAAACTCTTAAGGCCTCAGAGGGGAAGCCCTGTCCCCCTCCCTCCCCATAGTTGCTGGCATTCGCTTGTATCTGCCCAAAGTCAGGCTTTTGGGGAAGAGGGAGTAGGTGGCAGAGATCCACCGAGGAATGATCTGGGGCCAAGGTGGGGGGCCGTGGGGATAGGTGAGTGGTTTTTGGGTCAAAGCCCTTGATGTTTGGATGAGAAGAGGTCTGTGACATGACCTGCCATCCCCACTCCTGATTCCTCTCCTTCCCCAATTTAGCTGGAGAACAGTTAGATTGTCCAGCAATAGTGTATTACTATCAGTAATCCAAAAGTACATGGCAAGTTGGGCATTAAGACCCATTAGCTTTACAAAAAAACTGCTGCTGATAGAGATTTTTAAAGCGCTAGAAATTGCTATAAACCATTTCAGCTACCTGCATTTTCGGACTCCCCTGGGGCCAAGGCCACGGAAACTGTCCGGATGAGGGTTTAGCCCTAGTGCACTGGACTGGGGTGGCCCGAGCCTCTTGCAAAGGGTTGTGGCACCCCTTCCTCTGGAGTGTGAACTTCCTCTGGAGTGTACTGTGCCTCAGGGCTCCCCAGGGAAAACATACTGACCCTGTGACACCCCCAATCCCTTTCTTTGCAGCCATGGGGACAAAGATGTCTTCTCCTGCCGGGGCATCCTGCTAGCAGTGAACTGGTTCCTTGATCGAGGACACATGGACATCACCGTCTTCGTGCCGTCCTGGAGGAAAGAGCACCCGAGGCCTGACGTGCCCATTGCAGGTAAAGCACTGGAGCAGGTGGGACAGGAGCGCTGAACCTGCTGACGCTGCAAAGAAGACCTCCGTCCTGCAGCGGTCGCACAGGGGTGCTTAATCTGTACGCTGTGATCAGACACCTGGCAAACCAGGTGTCTCCTTTAAAAAGTGGCCCTCTGGTGCTTCTCCTCCCTCAGCTGCTGGACTGAACCTCCTCTGGTATCTTCCCAGCTGAGAGGAGGACCAGGATGAGACCCACGGGGCTTGAGGGAGGCACACCTTTGGGACCTTTCCCCAGGGAAGCCCCCCAGTCCTGGAAAGTCCTCCATAGATCACTGTGAACATTTCCTTTTGATTTCTAAAAGCAAATGATGTCTTTTTGCTGAATCTTTCCCTGGATTAAGAACCCTGTGTTGTTGTATTTTTAGCAGTCCCACCAGTTTGGGTTCAGGGGGTGGGTGGGTGGGCTTGGCATTGCCTGCCCAGAGATGGGAGAAAAGCTAGAAGTGTGGAGGAAACAAAGCTGCGTAGCTCTGTGTGGCAGAGCCCTTGGCGAAGGCGGAGGGTGTGGGGAGGGCAGGCTTTGCATTTGGCAGAGCGTGGAAGGAAGCGCTGGGGATTATCTAGGTCAGGGCGTGCGTGCGGATGCCTGCCCCACCACCGCTGCCACTTCCAGCCCTGGTGAGCAACGGTGTTGTCTGCTCATTCATTCATTCATTCATTCGTT